ATATATATATATATATATATATATATATATATATATATATATATATATATATATATATATATATAATTATGCTGCTGCTGCTGCAACTAATGCTATTGATGCTGCGGGTGTTGTTACTTCTGCTGCTTCTGCTGCTGCTGCTGCTGCTGCTACTTCTGTTGCTGCAGTTGCTTCTGCTTCTTTTGCTGCAGTCTCAGCTGCTGCTGCTTTCTGCTACTGCTGCTCCTGCTCCTGCTGCTACTGCTGCTTCTGCTGCTTCTGCTGCTGCTGCTACCGCTACTGCTACTGTGCTGCTGCTGCTGCTGCTGCTGCTGCTGCTGCTGCTGCTGCTGCTGCTGCTGCTGCTGCTGCTGCTGCAGCAGCAGCTTACATCCTGCAGCGAGTATCCTTCGGGGCACATTTTGTTAGCCGCAATAATTTGTTTGGTGGTGCAGATGCCGCCTGGTTCTGCTGCTCCTTCTGAGCACTGCCAGAGTGGTGGCTCAGCAACAGCTTTCATACACACTGTGTCTCCTGCTGCTGCTGCTGCTGCTGCTGCTGCTGCTGCTGCTGCTGCTGCTGCTGCTGTAGGAGATGATACAGATGCTGTTACTTCTGCTGCTGCTGCTGCGTGGTATTGAGGAGGACACAAAGGGATAGGCTGCACCACCGTCCGCCGTAAACAACCCTTGTCGTAGGGCTCAAACCCTAAACATAAATATATTTAAAATTTATATATACAAGGGTTTAGGGTTTAGGGTTTAGGGGGGTTTGGTAGTATGGGGTTAGATGTATGTATGAATTTTTTTTTAAAAAACCACTCATTTATCAGCTATATGTTTGGCTTTCTTACTTTCTAGGGTTTAGGGTTTAGGGTTTACGAGGGTTTAGGGTTTACGAGGGTTTAGGGTTTAGGTACCATCGGGGCATATTCTTTCCGGCAGCACAGAGTCTGTGACGATGCAGGCGCCTTGCTGGCTTTGAAAGGAGCCGTAGGGACACACCACCTGACACAGGCAACCGAGGGTTTAGGGTTTAGGGTTTACGAGGGTTTACTAGGGTTTACGAGGGTTTACGAGGGTTTACAAGGGTTTAGGGTTTATAAATATTTATTGTTCCAGTCGTAGAATAAACAATTCCTTGAATTTAAAAATTTTTTTAAAAAGAAAAAAATTTCGGGGTTTAGGGTTTAGGGTTTAGGGTTTAGGGTTTAGGGTTTAGGGTTCAGGGTTTAGGGTTTAGGGTTTATACCTGTGGTTTGACGGCGTGAACTTTAAGACATTCTCCATCAACCATATCAAACCCTCGCGGACAAGACAGCAGAATTTCTCCCGCTACAGGCTGCTCTGCATGCAGTGTTTTTTTTGTTAGTTTTATATTTTTTGGGGTTTTTTCTGCTGCTGCTGCTTTTGTGTTTATACACAAAAATAATAGTAGTAGTAATATTTTTTTTGTTTTTTTTTTTGTTTTTGTTTTTGGTTTTTGTTTTTGTTTTTGTGTTAAGGTGCTTTGGTTTGTGCTGCTGCTGTTTATACTTTTTAGGGGAGTTGGTGGGGGGGGGAGGAATGATGATGCTGCTGCTGCTGTTGCTGCTGTTGCTGCTGTTGGTGCTGCTGCTGTTGGTGCTGCTGCTCTTGGTGCTGCTGCTGTTGGTGCTGCTGTTGCTGCTGCTGTTGCTGCTGCTGCTGTTGGTGCTGCTGCTGGTATGCTTGCTGCTGATCTAGGGGCTGCTGCTGCCTTCTCAGGCCCCATACTAACTGTTGCTGCTGCTGCTGCTGTTGGTGCTGCTGCTGTTGCTGTTGCTGCTGCTGCTGCTGTCTTGGGTTTTGCTGCTGCTTGTCCTCCAGTTGCAGCAGCAGCTCCTGCTGCTGCTGCTAATGGCAGCAGCAGCTCTTGCTGCTGCTGCTGCTGTGTCTGCTGCATAAAGAGTGCATCAGAAATAAACTGTTTCTGCTGCTGCTTCTCCTGCTGCTGCTGCTGCTGCTGCTGCTGCTGTTGCTGCTGCTGCTGCTGGCGCCGCCTCTTGGCGAGAGCCATCGCCCCTACATGCTAAACCCTAAACCCTAAACCCTAAACCCTAAACGTTATTTTGTGAGGGATGTCTGTTTTGAACTGACATCGTGTAGAAGATAGAAACGAGGGTTTAGGGTTTAGGGTTTAGGGTTTAGGGTTTAGTGTGTGTCGAGGGTTTGTGATATATACTTAAACAACCAAACAAAACCCTAATTAT